GAATTTCCTTCCTCGTTTGCAAATTTGGTCATTTCAGATTTGAAAGAACAATTTCGGAAGCGATTTGCTGATTTGGATGTCAGTGCTCAGGAAATTAGCTTGTTTCAAAATCCGTTTGACTGTGATGCTGCAGATGTTGCAAGTCAAATTCAAATGGAAATTATTGAACTTCAGGAAAATTATCATATTAAAGACAAATACATGGAAGGAAATTTGATCGAATTTTATAAATTTCTGAACTCTGAGCAATTTCCAAATTTAAAGAAATTTGTTGTAAATTTATCTCCATTTCTGGGACAACTTATCTGTGTGAACAAACTTTTCCCAGATGAAGTACATGAAGTCGAAATACAGGGCAAATTTATCCGATGAACATTTAAAGTCGCTACTTGTGATTAGTGTTTCAAAATTTGAACCTCAATTTAATCAGATTTTAAGAATGCAAAAAGTTCCATCATTCACATTGTTACGGCGTGGTGGCGGGGGCGTGGAGGTATTCCCACCGCTTCCACCAGTTATGCCCTTACGTCCTTACGACAGGGGTGGATTGGTAATCTCGCTGCTGTCTCCCTGTTATGTAAGCTGCCACCATTTTTATGTCAAGAACTCTAGTAAACTTATCTTTGCTTACGTCACTGGTCCTGGCTTAACTCGCAATTCGCCGAAGCTTTGGGAGGCCCTGGAGTCGTCAGGGAAGAGGGTAACACTTAAGGAAATGCTAGGTTGAATTAAACTCACACACATTCCTATCCTATTCTATTTCCCTATGTCGCTATATACATACTATATACACACTTTGCCGACATTTGTCGGTTCGTATTACATTTGATGATGACCCTGTAGCCACCATTATTCCTATCTCCTGTCCCCTTGCTGTCGGGTATTCCATGCCTCTGTATTTCTTAATGAACCTAGTCCATCTAGTTAGCACTATCTTTTTCTGGGGTTTACACTTTAAAATTATCACTATCACACTTAATGTTCATGGCTATATGAAGTTGGATCACTTACTTGAGAGCTGAGGAAACAGACGCTCGCCATCGCCCTCTCGGCGATAGCCTCCGGCTGGACTCTATGTCACTTAATAATATTAAAAAGTCAAAAGGTTTGTTGATTGATTCCTCTAGGGTTTATATACCCTCTTTCTGCTGATTCTTTGTGTTCCAGGGTATATTGGCCCGCCCAATCTGACGTGATTTTGGGTCGGTTTGGCTCACTCATTGGCTGTCTATCGAGAAGGGGTTGACTCTTTCGGGTCTACCGCCTTCTCCGACTCAGCGTTTTCCTCCTGCCATAGTGTTTATGACCTACTTCATATAGCTTCTTCCTCAGTGTCAGCGTTATTACGCTGTCGCGCTAACATTCTGATTACTCAAGTATTGCCTGTTACACATCTTTGTAAACCCAAGCTTCCTGGTTTGTTTCATCATTTCTGTTTCTTAATCTTACAGTCTAGCTACTATTATTCCAAATTTACCCAAAAAAACTATATCTACATGTACATGACCTTTGCGCCATTACACACATTAATTGTTTTATTATAATTTTTGATGACAATATGAGCGTTTGCTGCTGTGGGATTGTCGTCTAATATACAATAATTTATTCTCACGTACTTTGTATTTAGTTTATGAAAATCTGTGCTTTCAATAGAACTCATATACCTAGTGTTATTAATTTCTCATTTTATTCGGCCCGTTGAAAGTGCTGAATTACCTAATGTGGCCCACGTTTCAAAAAGTTTGGAGACCCCTGCATTAGAACAACACAAGGCTGTCAATCTCTCCTTACTGGATTTGTGACCTGGAGCCTGTCTTTCATTTTGAAATGCCAAAGTTCTGGTTGGCAAGCGTTTCCAATAAAGACCCGTTTCATCGGCATTATAGATTTGTTCTGGTAGCAGATTTTCACTTTTCACAAAACTGTCAAAATTGGTGCAAAATTGAACTGATGATGACAAGTCCCCTGACAATTTCTCACCTTGAATACTAATTTCTTGTATTCTATGACGCTGCTTGAAACGTGTTAGCCAACTGGAAGAAGCATCAAAACTTCCTTGTAGTTCAAGTGCTTTGGAAAAAAATTTCGCTTGTTTAGCACAAACTACTGCTAAGTGCCCTTAGTTGATTAAACCAGATCAGCATTGTTTTGTCAAGATCATATGTCATATGTTGACTTTTTCATGGTTTTTCTCTTCTTCATTCTGCTTGACTTAGAAGATGAAGCAAAGGAAACTAATTGATTCTTTTGTTTTTTCAAATCATGAACAGTTTGGTCTCCAATACCATACTGCATTGCTAATTGTTTAACTACACCTCTTTTTCCCAACTGATTGATAATTTCAAGTTTCTGTTGAATACTTAACACAACACGATTCCTTTTATACCCTGACATTTTGCTAACGCACTTGAAGATCAATACAAAGAGACTAACTGGGGTGGTGTATCTGTCCCTGAAACTTTCCACAAATCCTTGCATTCTTTCACCCCTACCCTAGAACATTGTGTTAGCATAACTGGACCAAAATATGCAGAGCTCGGTTCACACTAGTGCGAAAATAGTGTTACAACTCACCATGTGAAACAAAAGTGAATGACTATTAAAAATATATAAGCCTCAAAAATGCCCCGGTAGCCCTGGTTAAGCCGCAAACCGCAAACCACAATGCATGAAAGAATGTTGACTATTCAGAATGCAAATTCAGATGCCAGGAACAATTTCTAGGGGAAGATGAGCAACATTTGCAAGGCCTGCTGGGATTAATGTCTATAAGAGACAGATTTTGTGCTTGCTCATGTTATGCCATCAGTGCACTGGTGCCCACAGCTGATGGTGGCAACAAAGAGTCAAGACAGTATCAAGGGTTTGCGTTCTTGAGAAGGAACATAAAAAGCATAAATTTAGCCAGGACGTTTTGAAGAAAATGTTTATGTAAGCAGTTGATTGTCAGTGGAACATTTCAGGAAAAGGATGGATTTGGTAGCCTTGGCAAGAATTAGAAGAATGAACAGCAGCATTCCTGGTAACACATTCTGTAGCAACTATGGAACATGCGAAGAAGCACTGAGAATGTTCCTATCATGGCATGTGACTTCAGGAAATTCAGTAATAAAAAGGTATTTAACCTTTAAGTGACGGCCCTTTAAATTCCGGTAATGGCAGCGGGACGGATTTGATTTAAATACCCGCAATTTTAAAGCAATAAAAACTATAATCATTTCCTAAAATTGCTGTGATTTCTACAATTTTTGTGATAAACGAACCAAATAAACGCTGTTTTTTTCTAGAAAGATGTAGAATCAGATATTGTAATTTACAGACTTTATAAAATGTGTAAAAATTTTTAGACTGATTCCAATTAAAAAATTCCCAATTTGTCGTCTCTCTACAAGAATTCAGAGTTCTTGGAACGAAGAATGTTGTATGTAAATGTTGCAACACAGCAGCGGATGGTTTATGTAGCCATGTTTAGTCTTACATGTCTCGAAAGATCATACACGTAGGTCATTTCGGTATGCAGAGATGTGGGGTGAGTATCTATTCGTATACAAGAACCATGATTGTTTATTATCACTTGTCGCAAAACAACAAGCTCTCTGTTCTCACTCTGCTGGAAGTAGATTATAAGTACTTTCATGGTTAGCATCCTAATACCACAGCCAAGCAGTATCAAAAGCGTGAATCAACCATTGTGCTGTCTCGTTAGGAAAACGCTGTCATATTTCAACTCATAAACGACTCGACTCCGAATCAGATTGTTGTACATTCAATTCTGAGAGTGGCGTTGAGGAAAGTGAATCAGAAATTGATTTCGACGAAGACCCATCATCTTGGTCAGCAACCTGCGGACCACCACACCAGCATGGCAAAAGGAGTGTGAATAATTATTCAGGTGGAGCTGTGGGCAAACTATGGCAAACAGTAATAGCATCTGTCGTCGAACCTGGAAATGGACAAATAAACTATTTTTCCATCTCATGGATCTGAACAGTTACATCCTGTTGTCACACAGAGAATTTTGTCTCGCTCTTGTGCGGAACATGCTGGAAGGGGTCCACCTCGCCATCAACGGCCCAGAGGTCGAACCCCTGCCGTTTTATCAGAGATATCTCGATTATAGGAGGCCAAACCACATCATTGGCTGACTTCCTCTACTTCGCAATTGAGGTGTCGTGTGTGCTTTTCGCGTGGGAAATGAAGAACCATCTAGACAAAGTGCGTGAAGTGCGACGTCGGACTCTGGATTTCCGGATGTTTCCAAGATTTCCACACGAAGCCAACTTCCGTCAGACGACGCAGGTGGGAAGAGAGACAACTTATAAAGCTGGTGACCAAAAATTATGTAAGTAGAAAAAGAATTTATAACTTAAAATTAGATTTTAAAAAGCTGGCCGCACGCGTGGACTGCGCGATGACATATGGCGTCATTCGTCCCCTTGACTTTATTTTCATGATGCCATATACTGTCGTTCGGCTCTTAAACGTTAAGAAAGAGCTTATGTAGCCTTGGAATGTATGATCTGTAAAAAGAATTCTGTACTGCATGTACTGCAAAGAAAGTTCAAGCAGCATTATAAATTACCTATAGATATTACAACTGTCAATTCTACAAACAAAAATGTAGACCTATGCTCACATTGTTTCAGAAATTAATCTCAGAAATATTCAGAAAAGAAACTGGTCAAAAGAAAAGCCCGCAAGGAGCACATCAGAAGGAAGATGAGTATAATCTGGCCAAGGAACAAGAGAAGATAAGAATCAGACTTGTGCTTTCATTTCAGTTACCCATGATTTGCAGATTGTACTGTAGATGCCTTCATCAGACTTTTCACTTGTGTTTCTGGTTTAAATATTTGTGACACTGACAGTTGAGAAGGCCATTGTTTCTGATAGAATGCACTAAACTGAAGAAGAGGAAGGAAGGAAGTGGGAAATGTTTGGCGGCAATGGATGCGGTCATTACCTTTTATGGTGTTGGCTAATATGGAACAGTAAAGAGATGCAGTAAACATGTTTTCTTTAATAAATAAATTTCTGTGTGGGACTTCCCAAAAATTCTTACAAAACTTATACCACTGTATGCTCAATGAATATATTCAGAAGTTTACAGGATGCATAGTACTGCGAAATGCCTGATTATAAGTCTGAATTCATGAAGTTTCACCACATACCACATTTGTTTGTACACCTTCATCTAAAACTTGTCAGTAATATAACTAACATCATTACTCAGGTTTACTTTCATTCGTGCAGGCATCTGCCTGTAGGAAATCACAGTGCATGATGGCTGCCCATCAGCCAAAGTCAACACCAGTATCTAGAAGTTCACGCACAGCTAGGATTGCTTTTCGGGGTAGGAGGCTTAAACAAAAGAAAAATAACTCTTTAAGTACCATGACTACCTTGCATTTTCATTGAGAGACTGAATTATACCATGCAATCTAATAGGATTTATTATTATTATTTTTATGTAATTCTATGTACTCATGCTAACCTTTTAATTGGCCTCTGTGCTGTTAAGTTGTACTTAAATAAACATGAATTGAATTGAATTGAATTAGGATATTGAGCTGCCACATGAATAAATAAGAATTAATTGGGTTGTTGTTGTTTTTATTATTATTATTATTATTATTATCGTTGTTGTTGTTAGATACTTATGTATAAAGGAATTGCTCAACTTATCTATTTATGGCTGTACNATCTTATTTGTATTTTGTTTTTTAGTTATATCTGTATTACTATGTACTCGTGCCAACTTAGTTATTGGCCTCTGTGCTGTTAAGTATGCATGTAAATAAACATGAATTGAATTGAATTGAATTATTGTATGCTGCTCTATTTGAAACTCAAATTCTCACATTGTGGCTTTGTCTGTGTGTTTGTTTCTGTATCTTTAGTCATGCTCATTGTGTAATTAATATAGACTATCATATTTTGTATTTTTTTATTATTATTATTTTATGTATTTCTCTCTATTCATGCTAGCTTTGTAATTGGCCTCTGTGCTGTTAAGTTTGCACATAAATAAACAGGAACTGAATTGAATTAGTGGGGTGAGACTGAGTCCACTTAGTACTGCGACCAATACTGGCCTATTGATTGTGGAGCAACTGGTTTTAATTAAGATTGGCAGGGGAACCAGAGTACTTGGAGAAAAGCTGCCCTAGTGCCACATTGTCCACCACAGTGAGAAGCCAGCAACTAACGCCTGATCTATGGCATGGCCGATCTGATAGGAGAGTCTGTGACCTGGCATGGGATTCATAGTTCATACTGAAGTAAAAGGAAATTCTAGAGAACTACTGACATCTATTTTAGCGCAAATGACTGACACTGAACAACACCAATTAAATTGTAAGATACAAAATTTCTTGAATGAGAGAAGCAAGACATTGTGCTGTAAAAATGATGACAGGAGAGAATAATGTTTCTCAACCAATGTGCTGCAATAACACTTTGAATTCAAAACGTTCCACACAATTTTAAAGCCGCCATTATTACGTTGTATCTTTTATTTATAAGTCAGTTCAATAACATCCCAGCTGTAGCTTTTGGTATTCTATTCACCAGCACATTTCAAGACTATGAAACTGGCACAACTCTGTCAAAGCAAGTGTCACGGAAAACCTCAAATTTCATTTATGAACGTTATCCTATTCTTATTTTACTGTAAGTTGACGTTTGCAAAGATATATATAAAATTTTGTGATCAAATTGAAAGACACTTCTGATTATACAGCATTTATGATGGATACTGTCCATTGTCTCAAGTACTTGAAAAGTAAAATGGTTGAATGAAATGGGTCCTCCATGTCCAGAAGCACATCAGGTATCTTGCAGCCATCTACTCACTAGAAACTGATTGATAAAAGCAACTGGAGCATGTAGTTGAGACCTCTCCACTTACACATTCATGGTATGGTGCTTATACTCTGAAATATTCTTCACTGTCCGAGGTATATTGAAACCTATAGATGCTTCTGATGTACTGTTTCTATCTATGGGATTTTTTGGGTAAGGTGTTGTCAAATAGGTTTGTTCTGGTGCTTCACATTGGTTTCATGCAGCTATAAAACAGTATGTCATATGTGAAGCAGTACATTTTTACAATTTTGGGAATGATACCAGGCAGATCCAACTTCTCCTGAGAAAGAGCCAAAGAATATTTTGGAAATTGGCACTAATCCCATCTTCATGTGATTATCATGCTAACACATTTTATTGTACATTAGTAACAGAAATTGTAATCAAACCCAGTACTTTGGCAGTAATGAACTTGTATGGTAACCACAAGGAAAACCATATGAAAAGTACTTCAGACAGTGGACAACAATGTAATGAATTAGTCATTGTCATAATCCTTAACAGAATAACCAGTCAGTTACTACAGCTTTAGTTGTCGCCATATAAAGATGAGTACCGCATTAGTCATACAAGTGTTACCTTACTACTTTGTCAGCATATAGCAGATAGCCAGGAATGCTGGCTTCCGTATAGTCTCGTCTCATTGCATCAATTATCTTCTTGGCTGCTGCCACTGGCTCAATTGTTCCAAAGTAACTTGGGATCCTAGAATGAAAGTACCATATTGATTTGTATTTAACACCCTTGCTTTTGGTGAACAGAACTCTAGCGCCATGGTGATAGAAAACTTGACGTGTAGATTGTCATAGTCTGATGGTTCATGGAAAGGATTTATGGAGTGAAAAGGTGTGCTCAAGTGGAAAACACATATTTGACAAATGTATTCATTGCTACTGGCCTTGATTGAATTTATTGCAGATATAAATATATTGCTACAAAGCTAATTGTACTCTAGATAACTGCATAAGAAGCATAAATTAATGATTCTCGTATTTTTGCCTGCTTTCCCTACTTTGAAAAAATAAAAGGAGGCTTATGCGATCACCTTGCTGTGTGTATCCCACCTTAATTTTTTCATCTTCTCTATAGCCTATGTCATATCTAAGTAAAATAGCTGATTAGTTCTTCCCCAGACTTCTTGTTATGTAAAAAAAAAAGTTCCAATGACAGTTGTGGACCTATATTTTGTGTCATATGTGAAACTTCTGTATGACCATGTCAGAATTTAAAAGAAAAATATCTGATTTTGTTTTGTGTGCTCAGAACTTTTATTAATGTCTTAAGAAATTGTATTTCTATGGTACTCAATTAAATAATTGCTTACCAAGTCAGTGCTGTTAAATCTTAGCTCCGGATGCTCTTTTAATTGATTCTCTTCGAAGACATAAGCAATCCTCCCCTTTCTAATAATTCTCTAAGACTGTTCATACGATTGATCATAGAAAATTTACTTCCACAAACGTATATGGATGAAAAAATTAACTTGAGGATTATATCCGATAGATTTAACATAAAATCTATAGTTAAGTAGTAAGTTCTTCCAAATAAATAATAGTAATCTGTAGTAATGTACAGCTGTAAAGAAAAGCTTTGACTCAACTAAGACTTCAACTGTATGACCATCAATGCAGAAGATCTGTACGCTAACCCACAGATCAAAGAGCACCTAAATATGACTAAGAGCACAAGATTTGTAGAATGCAACCTGGAATAGTAAGGTAGGCTTTGTCAGTTTTTCCTAGAGCTCATCATTTACATTTTGTTATTACATAGTCAAAACGGATTTTTTAAGCACTTCCCAGCATATTAACAACCCCACACCTTAAAAATAGTGAGCCAAAAGTGGCTTTTGTTGGGGGATCTGAACTGTGAGTGCAGTAAAGTACAGTGGTATGCCTTAACCTCTACAGCTCTTATTTGATTTTTTATGATGAATACGTAGGTCTTACCGAAAGTCACCAGCAACTTTTATTGCGTGCAACCTGGGAACAGAAGATGAAAGAGAGTATGGTGGTAGGTGGAACCAGCTGTTGTGTTAACCTTGAGTGTCTTGTGACGTCAATAGCTTCCGTCACATGACCAGTATCACTCCAAACAAAATGGCTGACAATGATAAGTTGTTTTGCCAGCGTGCTGTCATCAAATTTCTTGTGAAAGAGGAAATCCCTTCTGCAGAAATTCACCAGAGACTTCAGCAGTGCTTATGGAAGTGTGTGCATGGGTGCGAACAGTGTTCAAAGATGGGTGAAACATTTTAAAGATGGGAACACCAGCATTGAAGATGAGCCTCGGAGCGGTTGTCCTCGAACAGCCTCAAATGAACGCAACAAGGAAAGAGTGGATGAGATCATTCAAGATGACAGGCATGTAACTGTGGACACAATTGCCCGAAAACTTGGAACAGGACACAATGCAGTACAGGAGATGATTGAAAGCTTGAGCTATAGGAAAGTTTGTGCTCGTTGGGTCCCACGGTTATTGACCGAAGACCACAAAGGTCAGCGAAAAGCCATCACCTCAGAACTGCTGAAGAGATATCAACACGAAGGCGATGATTTATTGCTCTGTATTGTGACAGGTGACGAAAGCTGGTTTCACCATTTCGAGCCTGAAACAAAATGGCAGGTATGGAATGGCACCATTTGCATTCTCCATCAAAAAAGAAGGCAAAGACAGTGCCATCAGCTATGAAGGTGATGGGAACAGTCTCCTGGGATGCAGAGGGGTTTATTCTGGCTGAATTCCTGGAACCCGGGCAAACCATCAATGCTGCTCGTTATGTCCAGACGCTGCACAAGCTCCATTGTGCATTACGCGATAAACGTCCGGGACGAAACATCGTCATCCTGCATGACAACGCTCGCCCCCACGCCACTCGCCTCACATTGGAAACAATTGTAAAAATAGGGTGGGAAGTTCTTCCTCAGCCCTTCTATTGCCCTGAACTGGCACCCTCCGACTACCATCTTTTCATATTTGTGAAGGATCAGCTACGTGGACGTTTTGAGACAAGGGAGGCAATTCAGAAAATAGTGCATCAGTGTCTTCGGATGGCTGGAACAGAATTTTACAGAAGTGGAATTTTCAAACTCCCAGAACACTGGGAGAAATGTGTACAAAGAAGTGGCGATTATGTGGGAAAATAAAGAAAGGTCTGTAGATTGGGGTGATGTATTTGGTTTGTCAATAATAAAGCATGTTACTTTACAAAAAATTGTTGCTCATGACTTTCAGTTCATCCCTCATATTTATCAAAACAGATATAGTAATGGAGCCAATACAGTGGGCCCCTCTTGATCCCAATATGATTAACAGAATAAAATGATAATACTGTGTAAATTATGTGAATTTTCTCTCCCCTTATTTCTAAAAATGTTTTAGGTTTACAGTACTCTAATAATACATCACTGGGTAAATCTACAAATTCTAAATTTGACAGTTTACCTTAGTTGTATATTTGTAGACATTTCTTGGTCCACAATGAATGGATAAATATGAACCAAAGTCACTTTCACATCTCCGATGGGTTTGTAATTTCTCAGCTCTTCAGTCAGGGATTCGGCCAAACCTTGGATTGCAAATTGAGCTGCTGAGAGAGGTACTAGATCCTTGATCCCAGTAAGGCCCGCAACAGAAGTCAGCATGATTATGTGTCCGTGCTTTTTCTCCTGCATGCTGGGCAAGAAGGCCCCCAATATCTGTAAAAATAATGAAGAGCACATAGAATTTCAAAAAGGCATTCTTAATTATAAGTATTTACAAATGAGAACAGACAATCTGAAATTCCTGGTAGCCACAAAACCTTATTTTCAAGTCCATACCCCTTCCTTTGTGGACTCAGTTATCATAACTCCCCACAAGAATTATGTATAGTAAGTCTCCAGTTGTAATAAGATAATATCAGTCTTTAGATTCGTTCTGAAGTACGATATGACAGTTCTTTTAAACTCACCCTGAAGTACAATACTCATATGACAACTCCTTAAACTTACCCAGAATTGTGGCATGATACAAATCTTCAGACTCATTGCAAGTAGAACATGAAACCAGTCCGAACTCACCCAGAAGTATGACATGACATTAGTCTTCAAACTCAGAAGCATGATAAAGACATCAATTTTTAAATTCAACTCAAAAGTGTGATAATACACCATTCTATATAATTCACCCAGAAGTGCAAAACACCATAAGCCATAAAACTCACCCAGATAAGCACTCACTCAGAAGTGTGATAAGACTAATATAGTAATGCCAGCAGCCTGATTTGCACTTGCACAGAAGTGTGTTAAGACATTACTGTTATAAACTCACGCTGAAATGTAACATCATACACTCTTTAAATTCACCCAGAAGTATGACACACACTAGTCTTTTAAACTCACCCAGAATTGTGACATGACTCCAATATCCAAGGTCTTTCGAACCCCAGGCGCAGGATGCTCAGTAAGAATGCGCGGACTTGGGAGATTGCAGCAGTTTATCATCACAGTCACAATCCCCACTTCTTTCTTCACTCTCTCAGCTACTTTAATCACCTGAAACAAAATTAACAATTGATCTGATTTTTCAGTGGCTCTGCAACTCTATCTTTTAAGGTGGGCATATGTTTATTCTGTTCAGGATCTTATGAACAGTTCCAGTTCAAATTTGGGAAAGAGAAAACCGAAACTGCAGTTCAGAGGTGGTAACTATGAGTCTGACCTATTAAAAAAATTTGGGGATGTAATCTGTATCTCACATGTCAGGGGTGCCCTTTGGCTACTGTACCTAACTTTAGCTACTGTCTTCAAAATAAGTGCCAGCCAGGGTGATGCTGCAACACTCAACAAAGCAGTGGAGTACTACCCTGGTTTGACTGAGCCCTGCATAAGTTTATGTTAAAAGACCATTTCTGAAAACTGAGGTAGTTTCATTCTTGGAAAAGGTCCAGTTTTTACGTCAGTGTTTGTGTAAAGAAAAAGGGCATAACACATTTGATCATAAAAATGATATATACAGGTAACTCTCATATGCAGGGGTTGTAACCCTGAAAATAGCAACATATTTCAGAAACACGTAAAACAGGAAACAACATGACGTCAGTAATTGGACAAGTCAAGGAAACTGTGGGCTTGTGCAGCAACTCCTACCGTGGTCATGGAAAGGATGCTGATACACCTCACAAAACTGAAATATGAATGCCAACAATGAAAGTAAAGGGTTACTATTAAAATGATGTTTGACTTACCTGATATCTGTTGGTTATGTCACATGTGTATGCATAAGCCTTGCCAACACCAAATCCTAGTGAATCTGCTGCCATTGCAGTTTCTTCATTACTGTCACTCCGTATGTCCCAGCATATTACAGTGGCTCCTAACATTGAGAACTGTATGGCTAATTCTCGTCCAAGGCCATGACCTGCCCCAGTAATCTGAAAAGATCTCTGTGTCTTAAGTCACACTTATAACTAAATAACTCTTCGGAGCTGAGCCCTTCTTGAAAAACTGCCAGTCACTCAGATTCTCAAGAACTTCCCAACATTTTATGAACACAAAGGTTCATTAGCGTATTCACAAGAGCTCTCCACTGCTCCCCATCCTGAGCTAGATTAATCCCATCCATACCACCCCATCCTATTTCTCTAAGATCCATTTTAATATTATTCTCCAACCTACAACTACATCTTCCTCCTAGTGGTCTCTTTCCTTTTGACTTTCCCACCAAAATCCTACATGCATTCATCTTCCCCATTCGTGCTATATAACCTGCCTATCAGTCATCCTTGACTTGATCAATCTAATCAAATAACACACAGAGTTCGTATGAAGAGGTTCAATCTCAGGAAATTAAATGAGGTAGAGGGTAAAGAGCAGTATTGTGTTAATATCTCACATACACGTAGGTTTACGACTTTGGAAAACTTGGAAACTGAGGTGGATGTTAATAAAACTTGGGAAACTATTAGAAAGAATATAAAAATGTCTGCCAAAGAGAGTCTAGGTTATTATGAACCGAAGAAGCATAAGCCATGGTTCGATGAAGGATGCTCAAAATTATTAGACCAAAGGAAACAGCCAAATTGCAGTGGTAACAGGATCCAAGCGAGTTAAATGGGGATAATCTGAACAATATAAGATGTAAAACCAGCAGGAATTTCAGGAATAAAAAGAGGGAATATCTGAAAGACAAAATTGATGAGCTTGCAATGAACAGTAAGAACAAGCATATTAGAGTAATGTATAGAGGAATAAATGACTTTAAGAGAGGTTACCAGCCTAGCAGTAACTTAGTGAAGGATGAGAATGGCGATCTGCTTGCAGATTCCCACAATATTTTGAATAGGTGGAAGAACAACTACTCTCAGTTATTGAATGTACATAGGGTTAGTGAAGTTAGGCAGATAGCAATACATACAGCTGAACCATTAGTACCTGTTCCTAGCCCTTTTGAGGTTGAAAGTGCTATTGCAAAGTTAAAACGTTATAAATCGCCAGGTAGTGGACAAATTCCAGCACGACTTACTCAAGTAGGAGGTGAAATATTACTTTCTAAGTTCAACAATCTAATTACTTCTATTTGGCATAAGGAAAAATTGCCTGATCAGTGGAGTCTACCATTGTACCAGTTCATAAGAAGAGTCATAAAACTGACTATAGTAATTATCAGGGGATACCACTGCTATTAACTTCATACAAAATTTTATCCAATATTCTTCTCTCAATGTTAAGTCCATATATAGATGAAATTATTTGGGATCATCAGTGTGGATTTCGACGTAACAGATCAACTACTCGTACAGATCAGATCTTTTGCATTCATTAGATATTGGAAAAAACATGCGAGTACGATGAGATAGTACATCAGCAATTCATAGACATCAAGAAAGCCTATGATTCAGTTAGGAGTGAAGAATTGTTCAATATTCTGATAGAGTTTAGGGTACCCATGAAATTAGTTACGTTGATTAAAATACGAAATGTATAGTAAAGTCTGTGTAGGTAAACATTTGTCTGATAAATTTCCTCTCCAGAATGGTCTAAAACATGGAGATGCTTTATCGCTACTTCTTTTCAACTATGCTTTAGAATATGCCATTAGGAAGGTCCAGGGAAACCAGATGGGACTGAAATTAAAGGGACACATCAGCTGTTGGCCTATGCCGATGATGTGAATCTACTGGGTGATAATGTAGATACCATAAAGAAAAACACACAAACTTTAATTGACGCAAGTAAGGAGGTAGGTCTAGAAGTAAACACTGAGAAAACTAAGTATATGTTGCTGTCTCATCACCAAAATGCAGGGCAAAATCATGATATAAAGATAGGAAAGAGATGTTTTGAAAATGTGGCACAATTCAGATGTGTGGGAACGATAAGAGATTGAAACCTGATTCAGGAGGAAATTAAGAGGTGATTGAACTCGGGTAATGCTTGCTACCATTCAGTCCAGAACCTTTTGTCTTCTCATCTGCTGTCCAAAAACATAAAAATTAGAATATACAAAACTTTAATTTTTCCTGTTGTTCTGTATGGGTGTGAAACTTGGTCTCTGATATTAAAGGATGAGCACAAACGGAGGAGCGGAGAAAACTGCATAATGAGGAGCTTCATAACTTTCACTCTTCTCCAAGTATAATTAGAATGATCAAGTCAAGGAGGATGAGGTGGGCAGGGCATGTAGCACGAATGGGGGAGAAGAGGAATGTGTAGGACATTGGTGGGAAAGCCAGAAGGAAAGAGACCACTGGGAAGACAAAGGCGTAGTTGGGTGGGCAATATTAAAATTGATCTTAGAGAGATAGAATGGGATTGATTGGATTGATCTGGCTCAGGATAGGGACCAGTGGAGGGCTCTTGTGAACATGATAATGAACCTTTGGGTTCCATAAAATGCTGGGAAATTCTTGAGTAGCTGCAGAACTGGTGGCTCCTCCAGAACGGCTCAGCTCTATGAGTAAGTAAGTAAGAAAAGTATAAGTTATGAAGCTCCTCATTATGCAGTTTCCTCCAACCTTCTGTCACTTTATCCCTCTTCAGTCCAAATATTCTACTTAGCACCCTTTTCTCAAACACTCCCAGTTTATGTTCCTCTCTTAGTGTCAGAGACCAATTTCACACTAATACAAACCCACAGACAAAATTATACTTTCGTATATTCCAATTTTTATGTTTTTACATAGCAGACCAGAAGACAGAAGGTTCTGCACCCAAATTCAAACTCCCCTTGAATCAGATTTTGATTTGTTACTGTCAGTCCTAGATATTTGAACCACTGTACATTCTTTTATGTTATGATTTTGCCCTGCATTCTGGTGACAAGACATCAACATATACTTAGCTTTCTCTGTGTTTACTTCTAGACCAACCTCCTTAGTAGTGTCAATTAGATCTTCCATGTTCTTCAAAGTCACACTTATAGAATAATGAGTCTTATTGCAGAGATGGCGTCTCTGTGTCTGTCTCTATCTGTAATAATTTTCTTCATTCACATTAAGGAAACATGGCTACTGATTTACAGAGAACTGGCTGTTGAAGCTATAAGCACACACAGCCTCCTCCTACTTACACAAGGCATATGGAGTAAACTGCACAGTATAAAGCCTCTCCTATCCTAATGTCAACTTTGCCTTCACAAAGTCCACGACACTTTTATTGGTGACAAATCATAGCAGTGTAACCATTCCATCTGCAGTGCGGAAATACCCTGTCCAGTTCCTGGGTATATAAATAGAACTATTTAACGTCAGATAGATTACGTCTTAGCTTTAGTTAAGGACTGAATTATCTGACCCTGAAATAAGTAAATAAATAAACCCCAACCAGATATATATGCAGAGTGCTTATCTAATTATTTCAGAACAGGGTGCTGAGAATATCTGGACCCAAGAGGATTGAAATAATAGGAGGGCAGAGGAAACTGCGCAGTGAGGAGCTTAATAATTTTCACACATTGCCAGATATATTTAGAATGATGAAATCAAGAAAGATAAGGTGGGCAGGGAATGTAGCACGCATGGGGGCAGCAGAATGAATGTAGGATTTTGGTGGGACAACCAGAAGGAAAGAGACCACTAGGAAGACCTAAACATAGATGGATAGATAATGTTGTGGCATGTCGGCTGAAAGTCGGAATAGTTTAACCAGAAGAAACGTCCGTTGCTAGCTTATGGCATGGTAACCACACGACGGCTCTATTAAGCGAGCATTTGTTGCTACACAACGGTTGGTAGCCATCACGTGATCGCCGCAACGGACAAGCACGAAACAATAGAATAAATATTGGGAGATGTGTTTTTTGTGGGGTTCGCCAAGAGGCTGTATAATGGATGATCACGGCTTCGGGGACCTGGCCCTCCAGGTTGGGAGAGTGTCGAATCTGAGACAGTAAAATATGGTTATGAGTCCCGAAGGGCTAGGAGCCGAGAATAACTGCGCTGGCGAAGGCCAGCAGCAATTTAACCGACGAACCATCGCTGCTCGTGAGCCTCAAGGGACTTCGTGCCAAGACAAACTGACGAAATGATTGACGGTGAACCACCAGTCGTAAAGTAGTTCTGACCTTGACTCTGGCTGAACAATCAGGTTTCGTAAAATACTGGTAATTCTTGAGTACTTGAGCGAAATGCTGATTCTCAAGGAGGACTTAGCTCCACAGAATCAGTTAGCTGATAAGTTTCTTAGGTAGTGCTTCTTATCTACAAAGATAGACATCAGAGCTCAGAATAGGACACCCCACGTTTATCATAAAAACAGTAAGCTTTAACTGAAAATGTTATTCTTATTTCAATTTCAGTTAGTTAGTTAGTAAGTTATTGGAGAGGGTGGGTTTCCCCATGCACTGAGACCAGTATTGGTCCATTGTGCTTCCCTCTATGATATTCTACCAGTCTCTATACCCTACCGATATTGGTGCGTACCATCAGTCCCGACCGAGCCAGCGAGTTCGGCCTCTACTGGCTTGGCGGTATCTATAATGCTTCCCCCATCTACCAAAGGCGTTAGAGACTACTGTTGGACGGGAAATGTCCTTGAATTTAGCTCAGTGACCTCCTTTGGAGATATGAGGTTATTTTACGTGCCGTAAAGCTACGACACGGGACCCACGGCTTAAAGTCCATCCCGGAGGACTTGTTCCCTGAATTTTTCCGCCTTTAAAAATTCCACGACCTCCGCCGGGTTTGAACCCGCGTACCACGAGTCATGAGGTGGACTACGGAGGCCGCTTCAATTTCAGTTAGTCAGTTCTTTTTCACAACATATTTTCGTGTTTCATTTAGAAAAGGGTAACAGTATAACATATCGTTGCACACTGCCACTATAAATGCACTGTACATTCATTCATGCTCACATGTTCTTGCATAAGTCTCTCACACACACACACACAGAGTTCTGAAATTTTGTTGACCGATTCACGGCTCTGAGTTTCACCGCGACCGGTGAGCCGCTGGCTGCGAGGGGCATACGAATTTTATCGACGAATCAGTATGCCTGATGGCCGATAATATTGGAATGAAGGAAAGTACGTAATTAACTTGTGTACCACTTGACGAAATTATGTTTCACGGCGAGCAGCGCTGTTCATGCATGGGAGTTTGTTTATGAGTTGTCAGCAGTAAGCAGCAGTTATCAGCTCCATTAGCCATTTGTTCCCACTTACAATTACAGAGCACTGTGTTCCGTCATGGTGTGGTATACTTCAGAGCAACGTGTGTTCCTGTATGAGATCGATCCGCAGTTGACATTCTTTTCTGATGAAGAGTGGTATCACTTGCACTGATACATAAATACACAAGAATAACCGCTACTGGAATTCACAGAATCCACATCTAACCCCGTGTGTCTGGTGTGCTGTAAGTGCAAGAAGGACTGTTGGACCTGTGTTTTTCAATGAAATAATTGTGAAAGATATGTACAGGTCATTCTCGAGCAATTAATTCCACAGTTAACAGAAGAAGAAAGACTATGTCCGGTAGCAAGAATCAGCTACTGCCCACACTGCATTTGTCCGATGTCTTCGGGAACAGAATTATCAGCAGTGGTGTCTGGCCAGAACGTTCACCCGATTTCTTCTTCTGGGGTTGTTTGAAGGACAAAGTTTACAAGAGTAACCCCCGAACGGAAGAAGAATAAAAGAAAATATTCACAGGGGAATTGCACACATTCCTGCAGAACAGCTTCAGAGAGCAAATCGGAACCACTTCCGCCTCTGCGAAGACTGTCTAGATGTAGAGGGACATTTTCAATGCCTCTTGTGATCTGTGAATAAAGGTAAGAACTTCATTCATTCCGAAAGTCATAGGCCGTTACACATGCTGATTCATCTGCAAAATTCGTATGCGCATCGCAGCAAGCGGCGCACCGGTCACCGTGAAATGCACACGAAGTAAAAATCCTCCCTTTATATAAGGACTGAAACCCAGATGTAATGACATACCAGGATAATCTCTCCTGCTACAGACTTCAGGCGAGGTGGGATGAAGATACGGTAAAATGCTTCTAATTCAGCCTCTATGACCAGGAAGATGAGAGACAGCACGTCATAGATGAGCACGAGAAATGAGTACATCCGTAGAAACATGGCTACTGCAGTATACTCCAGCTGAACAACTGAACTGTAAGCTGAAGAGAAAACATTTGTGCAATATGGTAGTAATGAAACACTGTCAACATGTTCTCATTAGCAGCTTCAGCGCCAAGGCCAGCTTGTGCCTTTGGGATTCGTATTTGTATGGAAAGTATTCGCACGTTTAGGGCCGAAGCGACGCTGTGTGTCACACCAGCCGACGATAAATTCCACCATTCCTTCTTTGTTTACAACTACAAAGACAAAAATAACACCGTCCAGTGTGACTATTTAAGTTTTATCACTTGAAACTCATCACCCTTACATGTTTCGATCCCTACGGATCATCTTCAGGGGGCATCAATACAACTGCTCGACTTTCACAAAACTTCGACGTAATTCCGCGAAATTTCCAGGCATTGTGACGGAAATCATCACTGTTCTTGGTAATTCGTTTCTTGCCGGCGGCGAGAAACCTGGCGCTTGTTGCATGCCAACTTCTATGGAATATCAATCTATGGGATGCGGATTATGGATACAAATATGCCTATACGTACAGGTACCCTCTTGTGTAATGCTGATTATAATTTATGGCAGCCTTTTTTGGTAGCCGCGCGGTCTATGGCACGAGCTGTGTCCATTCGCTCGAACATTGGGTCCTTGATTCCAATGCCCGTGCTTTTCTATATCTGTGTTGTCCTGTGTAGGTAGTTGTCTTGCTACAGGGCTGATCACCCATTCAAGGAATCCTCCAACTGTCCGTAAGATTCATAGTTCCAGATTTATTATGAATGGGGACAAAGCAGAGGGCCTAATCCTCGAATAGGAGGAGGAGAGTTTCTGGTTGGATTGAGACATCCGGAAGGATGCAGATCTCATTACATACTTTCCGGAGGACTTCAGCGTGCGATGGAGACATCCGGAAGGATGAAGATCTCATTACATACTATCCGAAGGACTTCAGTGTGCGATGGAGACATCCGGAAGGACGCAGATCTCATTACATACTTTCCGGAGGACTTCAGTGTGCGACAGCCGAGCTGACTTTGCCGCTTTCATCTCATGCAACTCTTCACAAGTGGTGTTGTAGGTCAGTAGGTCTGTCAGCCATCAGTTTTAGATGCGAAAACATATGGTTGCTTATACAGTTATTCGTTTTATAGTGCATACATAACCTTTCTCCTGTTTGTACGCATGAAACTCCAGAGCAGCTGAATATATTTCCATGAGGTTTCATGAGTAAACATGAATTGTAATGAAAATCCGTAATGATTTTAAGAGATGAAGGACGTAAAAATTCAGTTCCTTCCTTATGTAAAGCTATTTTGTGAAACGAATTAAAGGTGATAACAGCTAATACGAATTCATACTGGCATAATTCAAGTGCCATATATATATATAATCTAATATGTAGAGGGACTCAGACGTAACAAATGTCAATTTACCTTCCTAAGTAAAGACACCATTAAAATTAATCAAATCAAAACAGCGGAAAAGCAACTCCACGGAGTTTTAAGTCTACTATACCATATTTGATTGAAATCGATCCGGCACATCTGTAGTAGCAACTTCAAGAATTTAGTGTTGATGAGAAGAGTCCAGGAGAATGTTCTGAACCTTCCTCCGGGAAAGCCATTGCACAGCACTTCCAATCACCGCTTTCACATGTGCGCGTTGGAAATGAAGCATTTGGTTTTTCGACTAACCTTCTGGAGCCCATACGGAGGAGAAATCTCGTCTCGGAAGAGAACATTTTCAATTATCGCCTGTTTTGAGCACGGTAATTCATCGCGTACGTATATCCAATAGGTGAAGAATTTTCCAGAGAACTCTAAATTGAGCATTGAGTTTGCAGAGTGTATAGGCACAACGTTTTGCATACTTGAACATGTGTAACTTCGCATTCGCGAGAGCAAGTCGTTGTGGAGGAAGACAAGCGTATTTGCGAACAGGGAGGTAACTGTGAATGTTTCCACGTTTACGACAGAGTGCTGATATCTAGCATATGTGTGTACACGTCGCTAGAAATTGCAACAATAAAAACACGAGTTGACATTCTGAATTCACGGGGCTGTTTGCTATGCAGGTGTGTTCTGTTATAGCAAGAGGACCAGCTTTGCAAGAAAGCTCGTTCCCGACATGTTCACATGCCGAATATTGGGCTACTACAGAACCGTAAAGGAGCCCTTTCTTCGTGACCCAAAAATGTTTGCATGCAACCTAATCATTGACGAAAAACAAGATGAATGGGGTAATACCGATAATTTGGCTCACGTAGGATACAGAAGGTGGGATTCATAACCGTCCCACGCTGGAGCGGCACTCTGCACAATCGAAACACTCTGTTTCATCACTTCACGTCTTCTGACTTCTCCACACTGGCCTGCGCTGTTTCGTCACCTCACGTTTTCTGACTTCTCCACTGGACTGCGCTGATTCGTCACTTCACGTCTTCTGACTTCTCCACACTGGACTGCGCTGTTTCGTCACCTCACGTCTTCTGACTTCTCCACTGGACTGCGCTGATTCGTCACTTCACGTCTTCTGACTTCTCCACACCGGACTGCGCTGTTTCGTCACCTCACGTCTTCTGACTTCTCCACTGGACTGCGCTGATTCGTCACTTCACGTCTTCTGACTTCTCCACACTGGACTGCGCTGTTTCGTCACCTCACGTCTTCTGACTTCTCCACTGGACTGCGCTGATTCGTCACTTCACGTCTTCTGACTTCTCCACTGGACTGCGCTGATTCGTCACTTCACGTCTTCTGACTTCTCCACACTGGACTGCGCTGTTTCGTCACCTCACGTCTTCTGACTTCTCCACTGGACTGCGCTGATTCGTCACTTCACGTCTTCTGACTTCTCCACTGGACTGCGCTGATTCGTCACTTCACGTCTTCTGACTTCTCCACACTGGACTGCGCTGTTTCGTCACCTCACGTCTTCTGACTTCTCCACTGGACTGCGCTGATTCGTCACTTCACGTCTTCTGACTTCTCCACTGGACTGCGCTGATTCGTCACTTCACGTCTTCTGACTTCTCCACACTGGACTGCGCTGTTTCGTCACCTCACGTCTTCTGACTTCTCCACTGGACTGCGCTGATTCGTCACTTCACGTTGTCTGACTTCTCCACTGGACTGCGCTGATTCGTCACTTCACGTCTTCTGACTTCTCCACACTGGACTGCGCTGTTTCGTCACCTCACGTTTTCTGACTTCTCCACTGGACTGCGCTGATTCGTCACTTCACGTCTTCTGACTTCTCCACAGGACTGAGCTGGTTCTCACCTTGCACAACTGCTACCTCCCGATCACTTCTTGGTTGTCGCTCCGGCCACCTTCAGCACCTCGTTGTAGAACCAGTAGGTGTTTGGGAAGGTAGGGAGGATTTTTGGGCGCCAGTAAGCGTGAGTAACTTATAATTGAGGTAGGATCTGCGCAGGTGGAATCTCTGGTCAGCCGGTCTACTCATATATCGGTAGAGATGGCCTTCAATCTCAAGGGCGTATAGGTCTCACTCCGGCCGGCAGGACGGGAAGAACTTATGCTAACCACTTTGCACGAACACCAATTTAGTTACACGCAAGATTTTATTTATTGTTTACTATGCTTTTATTATCATGTGACTAACTCCACGGAGCAGTTTTTGCAAAACTAATGGACGCTCAGCTACTAGGAGATTTCATTATTATGTCCACAAACAAGCCCAGCATTGATCCTTATCCTGTGCCAGATAAGTCCAGTAAATGCCATTTCACTCAATTTCTCTAAGATCCAGTTTAATATTACTACCGTCTATCCGTAGATCTTCCAAATTTCCTCTTCCCTTCAAGTTTACTGAATAAATGTTTATTCTGAGTCCCTTTAATGGAACTTTCGTAGTGATTTCGATGGTTGCGTGGTTGATAGATCGAATGGTCAATTGATACAACAGGATGTCTAAAATATATTCTTTAATAACCTTTCTGATAGCATTTCTGACCTCGCTCATGAGTGCTACTTGCCTCGCCCATCTCATTTTCCTTGATTTCATCACTCTAGTAGTATTTTCTGTCGATCACAGTGGCAGCGCGGTCTCAAACATGAACTGTCTTCGCTCGCTCGAACTCTGGGATCGTGGGTTTCGAATCCCATTCGAGGCATGGGTGTCCGTGTGCGTTTATTCTGTGATTGTGTTGTTCTGTGTGTATGTAGCGGTCTTGCGACGGGCTGATCCCCCGTCCAAGGAGTCCTAAAGATTGCGTACAAAGTATTTTTTTATTGCTGGTGGAGTGGGACTAAGTCCCTTGTACTGCGGCCACTTCTGGCCTATTGTACCAGCCTCAGATGATAGGTGAGGGTGATTGTGGAGCAATTGGTGGAATGAAGATTGGCAGGGGAAACCGAAGTACTCGGAGAAAAACTGCCCCAACGCCAATCTGTCCGCCACAAATCCCACTTGACCAGATCCGGGATCGGGAAGCCGGCGACTAACCGCTTGAGCTGTGGCGCGGCCTAATGATAACATTAGCCAACGTAGAGAAAGAGCATTCATCCCTACAGCGAAAGTACAACACCTGATGATGACCAAAGGCCGAAACATTCGGCAAATATTAACGTGTATTATACCTATACAAAAAGTTATGTTGACGGAAACCAGTATAATTGAAGTACAACACAATCGTTGTTTGGTAACGGTCGCAAAGCAACGCCCATTACTAGGGCAGCAGATTCTTAATAAATGGGGTTACGCAATATGTTTCTGACCAACAGCTCGGCAAACACGTTCCCGCGGCAACGGACACGAAAGCAACAAGAGAAGGACAGTATTTTCTATGTGGTCCGTGCCGAGAATTTATAATCAGGTCAGTTGGAGCAATGAGTTCGGTTGAGTTGACAGTTCAGTTGTGGAGTATTATTAGCCAGCGGACAGCGGCTTGAGCACAGAAGCTGAAGAATCTCCACTGCTGAGAGCTGTTACCAAGCAGCGGCTATGAAAGACTATAAGAGGTTGAGAAGACTCAGCGTGTGCTCTAACGTAAGATGGGCATGATTTGTTTCGCGAAGCCTGTACTGACAGAGGACTTGTGTGTAGTGCAAAAGGAAGAATTTTCAGTAACACGCTATAAGTGCGATAAGTGCACTTGACGAAAGGCCAAGCGTATTCATAAGGGACAAACCCATCTTCTCATCAGAGAGGATGTTACATAAGGACTATTACCGCAAGAGTACATTTTCCTCCAATGACATGAGCGATACAGCTCCTTCCTGGACTACAGTCAGACGCTTTCCCGACATAAGCACCACGTCATGAAGACGTATGGGGGAGTGGTCAGCTCCACGCCCCTGTCGCCTTACCCGGTACCTATTTATAGGAGGCTGGTGGGCATCAGAGCCGGTCTGTGTATCAGCGTAAATAAGCGAGTGGAATGTCATAAAAACGCGACACTTCATTCCCAGGTGAAACTCGTCCATGTCGAATAGGGTCTTCTTCGTTTTCCAGTTCCCGTTGTTTCTACCAATCAACATCAGTGTTTCTGCCTTCCCTCAAGTACTATTCTGTACGTATAGCATGGAGCAACTCATCTGTTCTGTGAAGGGCATTTGTCGTAACCTCGTCCAGACTTGTATTAACTTCTTCTCAACTTACAGACCACGCAGAGTTAAGGACACGAGTGCAGGCCTTATGGTATGTTCCTTCCAATGTGGCCAATCATATTAAGTTAAATTTAGTGGCGGGTAAAGAGGAATGAATCGTTCTTGACCAGAAAGCAGAGTAGCTCCATATTAGCCTGGTACCGTGGAAAGGTGATCAGATTTCCCTGTTTCCCTAAAGGCGACCGTTATTTCTCTCCCTACCTTTTTTTTTAACAGTGACGTCATCTGTAATTTAGAGTGAAAGTAACTCAAACTATAGGAATCGGTGACATTTTTAGGTTTGCGTTTGTGGGGTGGTGCTTTAGCAACTAGACTTCCTCTTTTAATGACGTCACATTTAAAAAAATAAATTTAGGTATTACTATTTGGTATGCTTTGCACTGTCTTCGCTCGCTCGGAAGCCGACATCGTGGGTTCGAATCCCACTCAGGGCATGGATGTTTGTGTGCGTTTTTCTGTATTTGTCTACAGGTAGTGAGGCCTTGCGACGAGCTGATCACTCGCCCAAGGATTCCTACCGAATGTGTAAGATCTAGAAAAACCGAAGTGAACCTAGTTCATGGAGGTAGGCCTCGGCCCACTGGGGCTGTAGTGCCAAGGGGGAAAAAAAATTGGTATGCCTCCTTATTTTCTTCAATTCTGATTCTACACGTATTAACCCGGGGTGGGGGGATGGCAAGTGTGTGACTTGCATCCTCATGCTGTGTGTACAGCTCCACCGCAGTAAATGTGACAATGCAAACTATGTACTGTTTGTTATACTTCGCAGTTCCGGGTGTGCTCCAACAAACAGCGCTATAGTAGCTATAGTCTCTGGGCTGTTCTTCTTCTGCGGGCCCTACAGTCCATGATGAACCTTGACCTTTGTTACGATCGCTTGCAGTATGTCACGAGCCTGTGACTTTCGTCTCCAATTTATAACGTCCATTGTCTGCAAATCTTCTTCAACTGACTCCAGTCACCTGACAGCATCAAGTTCCCTCCGGTTTATGTAGAGTTAACTTGCTGCAAGAGTTCTGCTCCTGCGATGTACATTCTGAAAAGCTGTCCCAGCCATCTCAACCGCCCCACTTCGATCACTTCCACTAGATGTCTAGTTTGCATGGATAAACTTGTAGACTGGAGAAAACTGCAAAGTCATGCACGAATTGTTCTTATGCTTGCTTCAATTCATTTCGTTATGGAATATCGCAACAAAAGGATGTCGGCTGCTTCAAGTGGTACACAACACGCCGAAAGAGGATGGTATCTGAAAGTAGGTTGAAAATCTTTCGCCTGCCCATCTCCTGTCTATAACGGCCACTAAAATGTGCTTTTACATACTTCTTAGAACCTGAAGAAACAGACTATATGTTCGCTTGATTTTCAAAGGACTACACGGCCTTATATTCCAGAAGACACGAGTCTTCTGCTCATTTAATCAAGTTACAAATCTTTGGAGGACCACATTCTTAGTGGAATGCTTATAAGGGATTTCGGAACAGAACTACGATCGAGCAAGTTGCAGCGGGCAGTAACGCTCTATTTATTTCGAAGGTGCCCGAGTCGAATCTAGGTCGAACCGCAAAATCTCATGAGTTTTTTTTTTTTTGGTTTCTTCAACACACCACGAAAATTCTGGGACATCACTTAAAATTAGGCCACGGTCATTTATTTTCTAATAATTTCCAATTCAGTAATCCAGCTCTGTTTACTATCTGCTTCATGCTCTTTTCTTGCTTCTCTTGTTATTCGAACCTGAAGAAACAGACTATATGTTCACTTGCTTTTCAAAGGACTACACGGCCTTATATTCCAGGAGCCATAATTCTTCAGTAAACAAAGCTATCAGCTATAATATCCACTAAATATCTTAGTTAAATCGCCGTTTATTACAACGTGCCTCTAAATCTCACTCTTTCGTCTACAGACTTTAATTCTCAGTTGAATTCGCATTTTCGGTGTAAGGAAATTACTTTCTTTTCAATCGCATATAACAAATATGACCCCTGTATTAATTAATATATTTTTTTTTTGGCCAATAACGTCAAGCAGTTGAATTCGCATTTTCGGTGTAAGGAAATTATTTTCTTTTCAATTGCATATAACAAATATGACCCCTGTATTAATTAATATATCCCCCCCCCAATAACGTCAAGCAGGGTCGAACAAGGTCTAACTGCCACTTCTACACTCTGTACACTACTGTTACACACGTAGAAAGGTTTCAGAATTACTCGTAAAAACAAAACTAACCACGTTTAGATCATTGTCGAGCGGCACTGGACTGCGGGAATGTAAACACTCCAGCAGTGACCTGTAGAAAACGTCACTTCTTGCTCCCCCCCCCCCCCNCCCCCCCCACCTTTCAATCACACGCGGAAGCCAATGTGAGTTCGTATCATACTGGAAATGAAATAATTCACTTGTTTGTATATTGTACTTACAGAAAATAACAGTCAGTTACCTCGTTGTGCACTGCGGTTACTGACACCGCAACAAGTAGACGACTGAAGTAAGGTTATTCATGAACGCAACTATAGTCACAGACAGCTCTGACTCGCTTGCGTGTCTTCCCCTATCTGAAAGCAAATTAAGCCATGTTCGTGCCGTTCGTACCACACATTATCCAGCTCACAGCGCTCACAGCCACCAGCCGAGCATAGTTGCTTCTACTCTCATGGCAGGACGTACGCAGGTCAACCGTAGCGACCGTAAATCTTTGCTCTGCAGCTATCCCAGGCCGTTTTATAATAGATCACTATAGTTGCGGATAGATGGCATGTCATTTCACTGTGGTTACTTTACAATTTGCGATGGTTTGTGGCAATAATTATGAAGAGACCGGCGCGGAATGTTACACAAACCTACAAAGTTAATTTATTCTTACTCTTATTTTGTTTAACGACTCCTTCAATAGCGCAGATTATTAGTTTCGAACGAAAGAATGATCACTTAATAATTAATAGGACAGAATGTGGAAGGACGTCGTGTCCTAAGTTAAAGTATCATACCGGCATTTCCAGGAGCTACTTAGGAATAAGGTAAACCTAAATTTGACCTTTCGTTTCAATTAATTAAGTACCTCACCATGAAGATATATGAGGGTGTGGAGTTGTAGCTCCACCATTCGAGACTTCGGCATGGATGGAGGTGATTAGTCAGTTTCATGCCCCAGCCGTTTTACCCCAGGGGAAAGAGCCGCCGGTACCCATTTGATAGGTTGGCTGGGCTCCAAAGCTGGAATGAACGCTGTGGAGCACAGACAAATCTCTTGCCCTGCTGAGTAGTGAAGCATTCAGTCTGTAGCCGCTGTAGCCCATCGCTCTGCTGACATAACTATCCTGGCCTCTTGGAGGTCCTGAGGAATAGTAGGAAACAGCTTAGTCAAGATACGGTCATCCAGTTGCAACTAAAATGGATCCATTTTCACACTTAAAATGCGGCTTTCATAAATATCCACTTGTTAAATATTAAAATGTAAAACTAAGTATGAAGGTCAGGTTCTCCAAATAACTAGAACATGTATCTGATAAATTCCCTAAATACTACATGAAAATGTTGTTAGGAGATGACAGTGCCAAAGTAGGTAGAGAAGATATTTTCAAACCAACAATTGGGAATGAGAGTTAGTAATTAGTAAGGCCACGCCACAGTTCAAGCATTTAGTCGCTGGCTTCCCACCGCAGCAGCCCGGGTTCAAACCCAGGTCTGGTCAAGTGGGATTTGTAGTGGGCAAAGTAGCGCTGGGGGTAGGTATTCTCCAAGTACTTCGGTTTTCCCTGCCAATCTTCATTCCACCAAATTCTCCATCATCATAACCACTTGGGGCAGGTACAATAGGCCAATCAGTGACCACAGTGCCGAGTGGACCCACAGGACTCCACCCCCTACTATGCGAATTAAAAAAGAAATAGTAGTTAGAGTAGTAAACTTTGCCACATCAAAAAGTCTTGTTGTCAAAAGTAGCATGTTCCCACATCATAACATTCATAAATTTACTGGGACATCTCCTGATGGGAAGACTCACAGTCAAATTGAACACATTTTGAGAGACATGAGAAGGCATTCAGATGTACCTGATGTCCATTCAGGGCGGCAGATCGTGATACTGATCACTGTCTGGTGGTGACAAAGGTTAGGAAGAGTCTGGCAGTGAGCAAAAAATGCACAGAGTTCTTGTGGTGAGGTTCAGTCTCAAGAAATTAAACCAGGTAGAGGGTAAATAGCAGTTTCCTATTGAAATCTCAAATGGGTTCACAGATTTGGAAAACTTAGGCACTGAGGAGAATATTAAGAGTGCTTGGAAAACTGTTAGAATATACAAGTGTCTGCCAAAGAGAGTCTAGGTTATTATGAACCGAAGAAGCATAAGCCATGGTTCGGTGAAGGATGCTCAGAATGATTAGACCAAAGGAAACAAGCCAAATTGCAGCGGTTATAGAATCCAAGTGAGTTAAATGGGGATAATCTGAACAATTTAAGACATGAAACCAGCAGGCATTTCAGGAATAAAAAGAGGGAATATCTAAAAGACAAAATTGATGAGCTTGCAATGAACAGTAAGAACAAGAACATTAGAGACCTGTATAGAGGAAAAAATGACTTTAAGAGAGGTTACCAGCCTAGCAGTAACTTAGTGAAGGATGAGAATGGTGATCTGCTTGCAGATTCCCACAACATTTTGAATAGGTGGAGGAACTACTTCTCTCAGTTATTGAATGTACATAGGCTCAGTGAAGTTAGGCAGATAGCAATTCATACAGCTGAGCCATTAGTACTTGATCCTAGCCCTTTTTAGGTTGAAAGTGCTATCACAAAGATAAAAAGGTATAAATCTCCAGTTAGTGATAAAATTCTGGCAGAAATTATTGATGCAGGACGTGAAATATTACGTTCTAAGATCCACAAGCTAATTACTTCTATTTGGCCTAAGGAAAAATTGCCTGATCAGTGGAAGGAGTCTATTATTGTACCAGTTCACAAGAAGGGTGATAAAGCTGACTGAAGTAATTATCGGGGAATATCACTTCTATAAACTTATACAACATTTATCCAATATTCTTCTCTCAATGTTAAGTCCATGCATAGATTAAATTATTGGGGATCATCAGTGTGGGTTTCGACATAACAGATCAACTACTCTTACAGATCAGATCTTTTGCATTCATCAGATATTGGGAAAAAGAAAATGGGAGTACAATGAGACAGTACAGCAGCTATTTGTAAACTTCAAGACAGCCTATGATTCAGTTAGAAGGGAAGTATTGTACAATATTCTTTAAGATGATTAGAATGTGTTTAAACGAAACATATAATAAAGTCCGTGTAGGTAATCATTTGTCTGATAAATTTCCTATCCAGAATGGTCTAAAACAAGGAGATGCTTTATCACCACTCCCTTTCAACTTTGCTTTAGAATATGCCATTAGGAAGGTCCAGGGTAACCAGATGGGACTGAAATTAAACAGGACAAATCAGCTGTTGGCCTATGCTGATGATGTGAATCTACTGGGTGATAATGTAGATACCATAAAGAAAAACACAGAAACTTTGACTGACGCAAGTAAGGAGGTTGGTCTAGAAGTAAACACAGAGAAAACTAAGTATATGTTGCCATATCATCACCAAAATGCAGGGCAAAATCATGATGTGAATATAGAAAACAGTTGTTTTGAAAATGTGGCACAATTCAGATATTTTGGAACGATTACAGATCAAAACCTTATTCATGAGGAAATTAAGAGGAGACTGAACTCGGGTAATGCTTGCTACCGTTCAGTCCAGAACCTTTTGTGTTTTCGTCTGTTGTCCAAAAACATAAAAATTAGAATATACAAAACTATAATTTTGACTGTGGTTCTGTATGGCTGTGAAACTTGGTCTCTGACATTAAGAGAGGAACATAGACTGAGGGTGTTTGAGAACAAGGTGTTGAGAATATTTGGACCGAAGAGAGATGAAGTGACAGGAGGTTGGAGAAAACTGCATAATGAGGAGCTTCATAACTTGTACTCTTCTCCAAGTATCATTAGAATGATCAAGTCAAGGAGGGTGAAGTGGGCAGGGCATGTAGCACGAATGAGTAGAAGAGGAATGCATATAGGATATTGGTGGGAAAGCCAGAAGGAAAGAGACCACTGGGAAGACCAAGGCATAGGTGGGTGGACAATATTAAAATGGATCTTAGGGAGATAGGATGGGGTGGTATGGACTGGATTGATCTGTCTCTGGATAGGGACCAGTGGAGGGCTCTTGTGAGCACGGTAATAACCCTTCGGGTTCCATAAAATGCTGGTAAGTTCTTGAGTTGCTGCACAATTGGCGGCTTCTCGAGAAGAGAGCTCTGTGAGTGAAAACTCAGTAAGATCAGGGTCATCATTACGTATCCAAACCTTAGATATTTCTGAGTATACTGTAGAATATTAATCTTCTACATGTTCCTGTTTGTGTAATGTGTCTAAAGTAAGATATAATTTTAGATCGTAGCATATTTGCCAAATTGTAGTGGTGTATAAATTTACTTACATGTACTTTATTATGGGAAGGAGTCGGGACAGATCAGTTGGTATAGTGACGGGCTACGGGTTGGATGGCCTGGGTTCCATTCCCAGCATTGCAAGATTTTCTTTTCTGAAGTGTCCAAACTGATTCTGGGTCCCACTCAGCCTCCTATCTTATAGGTATCGGAAGCGATTTCCCGTGGGTAAAGCGGCCGAGGCATGAAGCTGAACCCTCACCTCCATCTAGTGTCAATGGTGGAGCTATACCTCCACTCCCCATTATGTCTCATGGCCTAGCGCTTAATTAATTAATTAATTAATTATTTATATATTACTATGTGAGGGTGTGTGGTATATTGTAATGGTTTATAGGCCTTGTGTACGACATCTTCGGGTAGTAGGCAGTCTACAGGAACTGTCTTATGCAGTACTGTAAATAAATACGGGCTAATTAGAGCAACTGTGATATATTTGTTGTTATTCTATTGCGCTTATGGAATGACGGCGTGACAGTAGCCGTGTGCGGTTGACTGCAGAGTATTGTAATGAAGTATTATATTTCTAATACTTGATTGATTCTTTAAATTTCGAGCGTTACGTGTCTATGTGGCGACCGCCTCTGTGGTCTAGTGGTCAGAGTTCCTGGCTACAGATCCAGAGGTCTCGGGTTCGATTCCCGGCGCTATAAGATTTTCTGAGAAGAAGTGGGTCTGGAATGGGTTCCACTCAGCCTCGTAAGGATAATTGAGGAGCTACTTGAATGAAAAGCAGCGACTACGGCCTAGAAACCCGAAATTAACGGCCGCGGGAATTCGTCGCGTTGACCACCCGACACCCGCCGACAAGCGGCGGTCGCTCGGTCGGTATAGTTCTCTTGAGGACTCAAGCCACGGAGTTTGTGTATATGTGGAGTGTTTGACTCTTGCTGGTTATGCTGTGGGCCTCGTCTGGGGCGTGTGGCTGTACTGCTGGATGTTGCCTGAAGTGCAGTGCTTGTGAGTGTCTAGGTTACGTGACGGTAGGTGTGAGGTTAATAGGGGGAGGGGTTAGAGAATGGGGGCGTTTTTATTGTATTCATGTCTAATTCTGTATACACAGCAGGATACAATGAATCAAGATAATGAAGGGATGTGACGCCGTGCAGTCTGACAAAATTTACCGACGTTTCGA